CCCCCCCCCCAATGACACACTCGGAACCGGTGTTGTAAGTTTGATGATACGACAATGCTTTCTTTCTCGTATAAAGCTCTAGCCTCTATTCCTTTATAGAAGAATGTGGACATCTAGACAACTTGCTAAAAATCGTGCAGCAGTGAAGTACACCCCGAACTTTAATTGCATAGAATTGGGCGCGCTTATCAATTAAACTTACTTAGACCGAGAAAGGTAGGAGTTAGCAGTCCATCATTATAGTACAGAGTCAATGCTTGAAATTATTCATTCTTATCCAAAAGTATTACGATACACAGGGGATTATGGTTTGGCTAGATGAACGTCGAGTCCAATGATAACGTGAGAAAAATTGCGCATAGAACAGCAACATTCCAAGATTTCAAAGGATGGGGTAACTCATCATGACCGGTTGCAGTTTCATTATCAGATAATATTAATAGACAGTATGAATGTTTAAGACTTGGTAATTAATATAGGCACCATGTTACAAACTAATGGCAGAGTTTCATGGTAATTGCTATTTCTACATAACTGAAAGGTGAGGATAATTTCAAAGTCTTCAAGACCTCAACGCTCAAGGCACAAAGGAACTTCTGGCTTCAAGAGAAAACACTGTCTCTACCGCTTTATTATGGATAGCATTAAAAAAATAATTTTCAAGCAAAGATAAATAAAGTTTTTGTTGTTTTTTTTTTGTATTTTTTAAATGCTTATCGAGCACTACCCATTATCTAAGTGTGTGTTCAGGAAAACTATACATTTGCTCTAACTTTACGCTTTCAGATGTAATATAACAAATGCGTTTCTATTTAATCTGTAATACTGTGTTAAGTGTAAGTGTAGGCATTTCAGGAAAGAACACGTAATTTAAAAGGAGGCAAAATTATCACAAGTGATTAGCAGATCAGTCACATGAAATGCAATAATTTAAAAAAATAATTCTTTTCCACATATAAGTAGTCATATAAAATTATTCAAACTACATAGTCGTACGGATGTTTGGATTTTTAAAAATAGCTTTATTATTTTAACAGTTAATTTAAAAATGTGCGCATAAGTATAAGCAATTTAATTTTGTTTCTCCATAAACAAATTGGGATTTAGACTATTTGTCCGTAAATTATATTTTGAGTTGGCAACCTTCGTACATATAATATATATGGTGAGGCCAGCCTAATTCAGCTTTACAAAATATTAAACCCATTGTCATATAGCATAAAGCGTAAATTGAGCCTTCCCATTCGTCACCAAAGGGTGAGAGCTTGGTAAAATCAGGAAATTTAGCCCAAGAGTTAGCAGACTCTAAAAAAACGCTTTCCCACATTATAGCTTTGTTTTACTGTTCTTTAAAGGAAAAAATTAAAATAGACAGATTGTTGAAAGATGGCGGCAGTTCTTAACTTGCCTGTTCCTGTTATTATTGTGTGAAAACGTATACTTTTCTCAAATCTTTGCATAAGCCAAAAATATTTTATTTTCATGCAAATTATAAAACTATACGGCTAATTCTTACAATTATCTATTTTTAACTTAATTAAAATTATGTCCATGCCATAACTCTGACCTAAGTCTCTGCTGTTTGACTCCAGTTTGAGTGAAGTTGTAAGTAAGTAACTGAAACTGTTATTAATTATTTGTTGTGATTGTGAGTGTACAATATGTACTATATACAAATTTGGTAATTTCAGCCGCTATTTGAAAATCTTTTTATTTTTAGGTTTGAAGCGTTGAAGGGCTATTTAACCAGTTATTCATTATTTCTTGATATGATTAGACACAAAACTGGTACAGTACGCCTTACTAACTACTAACTCATTTTGTTTCTATTATATAGTAGACACTGAATGATAATTTAGACTATTTATGGTTAGACTCCATCCTCATTATTGACTTATTCCAGCCGTAGCAAACCTTATATCTTAATTATAAAAATACCAATAGCTTACAATAACAATTAACTACCCGGTATTTCATTTTGAAAACTATCAAGTAACAAAAGAAAAAAACTACTCAGTCTCTAACTCCATTCAGTAGCTACAAAATATTTCTACAGCACAGTATTTAAAATCACATACATTCTTACACTTTTATACATATAAATAAAATAATTTTCAATATTTATGGAAAAAGTATTTCTTTGTTTTTTTAACAAGATTTGGGCTTTTTTTTTTTTGCAGCCAGATTGACGCTCCTAATATAAACATTTTGTTTTAAATGTTGAGGGTATTGTTTACCACATGAATTGTGAAAGATTACTGTTATGTCTGTGGCCATAAACATTTTATTTTGCTGTTTTTTATGTTGTTAATAATATTTGGGGATGCAAATGTGTTCACTTTTATTTAAATCACATTCTGATTCTCATCCCACATATTTTTTTTTCTTGTGATTAATCAATCAAGGTTTTCAATGCTCCTGATTTTTCATGTCTAAATTATCAATTTGTTCAATGTCTTACTGTCCTAATAATAACAATTATTTCTTTTTAACTGCATAAGCATTTTGAGATGTTTTTTTTCATAAGGGATAGAAATATAATCTTTATCATGTTGTCTTAAGAAAAAAATCAAAGTGAAACTTTATATTTGAACTAAGAACTGTAACTCTTCACAGTCTTTACCTTTCTTATTTTCGTGTTAAAATTGTAACATTAATTTTTGTGAATATTTCAAAATCTAACATTTGAAAAAGCAAAAATGAATTAAGAATTTTGTTCTCTTTAGGTAAGCACTGTGTATGGTCAAGTAAAAGCAATGAGTAAAGTAGGTCAAAACACTCATTCAAAAAAAATGAAACAAGACTTGCAGGCAGAACTCAACACTGTTCTGTCTGTGCAAGCAGAAAAAATCAGACAGCGTCTCAATAATGAAAGACAAGCTATAGCCGAAAATATAGAAATTGCTGTTCCTCAAGTGAAAGGAATAAGGTAAATTTAACATTTAAAGATTTCAAGGTTCTTACAGTGTTTGAATTATGTTGTTGAGAACTTTATTAATTCAATTCAATACTTCAATATACTTGTTCTTTTTATTATTTTCCTAGCTTGATTTTTCCATTTGATATTAAATCATCCTATCCCTAATTAAAAACTATTTTAATTTTTCATTTTCACATTTCAAAAGTCATGAAATGGTTAGTGGTATCTTTGTTATGGACTCTTCAAGCCATAATCCTGTAGCAGGTCTAAGTCTTACGCCTATCTCAAAAGCACGGCAGAGAAGAAGACTTAAGATTAAAACAGCTCTACCACATAGACAGACTCAAGTAAGACATTTTAATTTAAATTAGTTAAAATATGTTTCCATCCATCCTTGTGGCACTATAGCCCATGTAGGGCTTTGGCCTGCCTCATCACTTCCTTCCACTTAGACCTAACTGATGCATTTCTTTTCCATGCTTGGATTCCCAGCTGCTCTAGTTATTTTTCTACATCCATGTAAGCCTATGTCTGCCTTTGAGCCGTTTTCCTCTGGGGTTTTGGTGGTTCACCCTCTTCACTCCTCTGTCATTTGGCATTCTTTCTAAGTGTCCCGCCCATCTTAGCCTGCCTTTTTTTATTTCTGCTACTAGTGTGGGATCCTGATATAGACTAAACAATTTCTGATTGGTTCGTATTTTCCATCCATATTCATCCTTTGTTGGTCCATATATTTTCCAGCAAACTTTTCTCTCTCATTTGTTTAATAGGTTTTCTACCTTTAACAGAAATTTTATTTTCTTGAAATACTTAGAAGTATATTAGTATAATTCATTTAAAAATAATTTTATAAAAACCCTCATTTTTGTAACACCTTTTATATTAAATAAATATTTAAGGGAGAAAATTGATTTTAAACTATTGACCACCATCTGTTGCTTAGCAAATATTATAGCCATGCATGTTAAATGGCTATTACTTTTCCAGTTATTTTTTATGTGGAGACCAATGGTTAAATATACCATGAAATCCCATTGAACTTACTTGACACAACTTTAAACTTTTAACAGTCTACTCACAAGACAAAAACAGCTTATGAAGGGCAAACTAGGTATTTTCAAGGCAGCAGTACTGTCAACATAAAAAATTACCGTCCTGGATACACGTGGAGCATGGGAGGTCGTATAAAAGAATTAAGGATACGGTAACACATTTACATCTAAGTAAATATGCAATAATGCGGTGTGGGGAATATTCTCCCATAAGATTCTTAATTTTTTAAAAAAAAGCTAAATTCTTAAACCATTTTAACTGCTTTTAAATGAGATAATTTTTTTTTTATCAAGAGCATTTTAGTAGTGCTTTAAAATACTTCACATATATGCCAAGCTTAATGAATATGTATGACATCAACATTTAATGCAAGAGAAGGCTTGAAATTCATCTTATCACTCAGTACTATAATTAATCTTCAAAGATGCATTGTTGAATTAAGCCTCAATCTGCTCTCATTAGGCATTGCCAAATAATGCTTGAATATTTGGAGATCGTAATTGATTGCTTACTTAAAAGTTACATTTCTTATGATAATCTGCCTTTAATTTTTTAATATTTGAATATAATTAATATCTGCACAAACATACAAGTGAATAGAAACATAGTATTTAATTTGTGCATTTCATAATTTCTGATTGTTATAATAATAATTATTATTGTTTTCAGTTGCATAGCAAGGAAACATATTTATATTTGGCGCAAGAAAGTATTTGGTCGTGTGCCATTAGCACTAGCCCAGTAAGTATTTTGAATGTTTGGTAAATTGACTTGTATTAATTATTATAAGATATAAACCATCTTTCAGAGGGTGCTAAGTCTTTTAATTTTTTTAAAATAGCTAAAATATTTATTAAATACTATAAGAAATGTTCTTATAAAGAATTTTCTGAATGTTACATTTCTTTAGACAACACCATGAAATGAGATTGATGCAGAAGGCTTTCAATGAATGGTATGACTTCTGGTGGGAGATTGTCAAAGAATGGCGTTTAAGTGTACGTGCAGAATGTCATTACAGGTCAGCTAATATGTAAATGTCAAATATTGAATTTAAAATAACGAAATTAATTTTTTTAATGTTAAAAAATAGTAAACAACTTTTAACAAAGTAAATAGCTTTATGTTGCTGGCTCTAGAATGTATATGATTTACTTAACTAGTTTGAATTAATACTGCTGATATTACCAGGTACAAGCTTGGTGTACAAATGTTCCTCAAATGGAAAGCATTCATAGCTTCAAGGAGATTCAGCAATGCCAAGGTTGCATCGGCTTCCAATTATTGTAAGGACATTAAATAATATTACATGTATAAATTAAGAGGGCCAACAAAATATTTTTTTAAACTCATTCATTTTTATCTTCTATTTTGCTAAGTTCCTAAAGCATATTAAGTACTTATCTGAAACTGCATAGTTTTAAAATCCTTTTTCTTCTTCACATAGTTCTAGAAATAATTTAATGAGCTAATGTAGTTTTCTCAATACCCGACTGTCTCAATACCATTGTATTTATCATAATCATTTGAAAAGGATATTTGGTGGACATTTTATAATAGGACATTAAAGAGCCACCTGTCAAAAATTTGAAACATGTTGCTGTAAATTTTACAATTATTTTAAATGCATGAATGCTGAATAAAGCGGGATAAAACTAGAGACTACTCAGAAGCAGTAACATTTGTCTAATATGCAAGATCTGAAAGCCACAAAATAGGAGTTGATACTTCAGTCCTGCATTAGCATTAAAAAAAACTTTTTAGATAGAAGTATCATTAATAATAATAATAATAATAATAAAGTTTATTTCAAAAACACGCTTCATCCCCAAAGGCTCGAAGCGTGGTACAAAGTCAACAAAAAACAAATCTATAATTTACCACATTTAAAACAAACGCAACACTACAAAAACTAATTACAAGCATACAATGTCAAAGTCTTTCTAGCCATTTCAACCATAAGCAACACAGCCAATATGCATTAATAAGAAAAATAATACCATACATAACTTTATTGAAATACTTTGATTCAAAACAGATAATAGACATTTACAGAAAAAAGTGTGGGAGGAATGGAAAAGTTACATAAAACACAGACACATAAAGCAACAGATGAAGAAAAAGAGTGATGAATTTAATTCTACAAATTTGACAAGGTAAATAAATGATTATACATACTTTTGTAATAGTGTCTTGGATAAGACTGAAATGTGATAAATAATAAAATGAATTTGTTTTAAAAATGCTGTGATTAAACATTTTTTTATTAATTTAGAAAAACTTGGAAAATCTGGAAGGACAGACATTCAAAACATATTGCTCAAAAAGAAGACATAACTACAGCATTACAGTTTTGGTCTTACAGAATACAGGCACATGTAAGGAAATTTAAAAAATTGAACATTTTTATCCTTTAAAAACACCAACAAATTATCAATTTCCATTTCAAATATTTACTTAATATTAAAAACATTTTATGGTGCTGGTTACCTGACAATAATATTTTAAAATGTTATTTATTTCAGCATTGGTTAATATGGAAAGCAGCATTTATTGAACGGCAACAACAACAAAAAAGATACCTTGATGCAACTATTTATCACAACACTGTTGTGGTCACAAAGTTTTTACAGAATTGGAAACAATTTCTTGAACACAGGAGAGCAAAAAAGAAACAAATAGGTACAATGGATTTTTAAAAAAATTAGCTAATATTTTAAAAAAAATAAACTTAACATTCTTTAATAGAAAATAATAATTCACACCATTTATATTTTAAGGTTTTGTGAGGGCTGTATACCATGGCAAACTGCAGGAAAGGTATTTCAATCACTGGTGCCAGAGGTGGCACCTTATGCGTTCTTTGCAACAACATCACTTAAAAATAGAGTCCCTTTCTCATACCTTCAGATGTCGATGGGTTGTGTGGAGATGGATACAGTGTATCCTTTGTAAATACCCAGAACAATTGCATTTTAAGTAATTACTGATAGATTTTATTTCAATTAAATTTTTTTAAATGTTGAAATGAATTTTTTTCTTAAAGGAACAGTTGTTCTTTATAGTTGTGTGTAATATTATTTTTCCTTAATTTAATTAAGTTGTGGGAATAAACAGAGAGATGAGAGTTAAGGAGAAGTTAGCAGACAATCATTTCCACCATCAACTTTTGGTGAGTTAGAAAGGTTGTAACTTAGTACGGTACACTTAATTATTTTTTTTTTTGCTTTAACTGATACTGTAACTCTCTTGTTTAAACCATTATTTTTAAAGTAATAGAGAAATGAAAGTTGTTGCATTTCATATAAATATGTTTCTATAATATTTTTTAAACAAATTACTGTAAATGCTAAGGTTACTGTTCAATGTTGCATAGTATTCGCTTTATACTTTTTTCTTGCCAATGAAATCCATTTATTTATGCTTTATGCGTGACAGAGAATAGGTGTTGATGCCTTTCGACTTAATGTTGTGCACTCACACATTAAAGTAATGAGGACACAACTCTCTCATCAAATTAGAGTTGTCCAGGTCAGTTACATGTTTTAGATCTTAACCCTTAAACTAATGGGTCACATAACTTATTAGTGGTGTAATAATGAACTTTATACAGAGTGAGAAGATGTATTTAACTTGACTTAATTAATTTATAAAAGTGTACATGTTTAATAAAAATAAATGTATTATTAGTATATGTTTAATTTTAAGCTGCAACGTGGAGCATGGGGTATGTGGAAATCAGCATTTGAGGAAAGAGAAGAACTAAAAATACTTCCACAAACTGAACTGGCCAAAGAACACTTCAAGTAAGTTATATAATTGACAGGGTTTCTCAGGATATAGTTAAATTTGAAACTTACTAAAATACCTCCAGAACTTATAAATAATTATTAAAATTTAAAAAAAAAAGGTAAGTTTGGTTAAAAAAGGTATTGTTTATATCAAGATCAATTTAAATATTTCAGCACTACAGTCACTCGTAAATGTTTCTTAGCGTTAATTGATTATACCCAATGGAGACAGCATCGAAAGGTTAGTGAGCAATTTGTGAACATTGGTTGATCATCCTTGTCATGACTGACAGATTGAACTAAACCTTTAAAGCATTTACTGAACATAAGATGCAAACACAAAATATTTTTCCATTTAAATCAGGTTAATAAGATTTTATGCTGCTTGGTTTCAAGTGTAATGTTATTTGGAATCACTTAAAATACCTTATTTATAATGTGTGTTTAAAAGTATGCAGAAAAACTTTTGTTGAATCTTGATAATTAAGTCATGTGTCTAATTTCTATTAATAGAAGCAGTATGCACAGGCTGATGCTCATTTCTATTTACGTATCGTGCCTGTATGCTTTTACCATATGCATCTATTTGTGGAGTTGGAGAAGACATGTAGAGAGAACTCTGTCAAGGCTGTTGCTTTCAGAAGGTCAGAGTGTGGTTTATTCTAAAAGCGTTTTTGTGATGCATAGATTTTGCCTTTGTTTATATCCTAAAGAGAAAGCCATGATTGAGAGCCTTAATATTTTTCACATTTTACTACATCATTTCAAATATCTATCTTATTTTTAGTGCTTTATTTACATTTTAAGTTATCATTTCTCATCATAAATTTGAATACGACATATTTGAATATTCAATTATTTTGTTTACACATCTGTGTACTTATATACATTATAATAATGCCCTATGAAATTGAGCAGTGTTAAGCATAAAAATTTTGAAGTTTTAAAAAAATGATTGTCTATTTATTTTCTTTAGGCATAACATGGAGCTGAAAATTTTTAAGACTTGGGTTACAGCAGCTAATCAAAGCAGAGATGATCGTATGATGGATCGCATGGTGAGAAAATGTTTATTTAAATTAGATCATGTAACGGTGAGAGCAGGCGTGATCTAATCCTGTGCTCCTCAAGGTGTTCAGTGTGAGCAGCCGATAAAGAATATTTCCAACCTCTCAAAACAGTCACTGAATCTACTCTAAATTATTGATTATGCATTTAAAATTCAAAAGATTTTTAGAAATTCCTTAGGTAAAGGTAGGAGCTCTTTTGTGCCACGCCAATTAAATCACACATTTAAAAAAATGAAACTGTCAGTGAGTGTTTTAGTTTTATTATTAGGGCTATTGAATATCATTTTGTTGGCAACCCTTGGTTCAGAGTGTTTCTGTACATTCTGCAGTAATAGTAATCTCTAAAGAGATAATTACCTCTGATCTTTTGTACTATAATACAAATGCTTTATGAAATTTTAAGGAATGAATAAATCTTGAAGAATTTGATTTAAAAAGTGAGCTTATTTCCCCAGGCACTTTTACATAGAGAATCAGTCATCTTGCAGAGAAGTTTCACTTTATGGAAAGAAAGGACAGAAGACAAAGCTCAGGAAATAAAGAAGATGTCACAAGTCAAAGAGCAATATCTTTGGTCTCTCTGTTACAAGGCATTTTGTGCATGGAAGAAGTTAGTGGCTGACGAAAAACTACTGTGAGTTCCACAATGTGATTTCTTACTAAAAATCTTCATAAAATACTGTTATACAATTTAAAGGAACCCACTAAAGAGAGAAAAATTATAATTGAAGTTTCTATCTTAAATGTTTTATTTGTTTTTAATTGTTTTCTGCAGTGTCTTACATGTAAAAAAAGCCTCCCAGCATCACTATTTGAAAACATTACACAAATCAATGGAGCAGTGGAAAAAGGTTAGTAAATAAACTGTTCATTATTTAACCACACATCAGCAAACTATTGATGTAAAATATATTCACTGGGGTGTATATTTCATTGTGCATCCTTTGCTTCACACATTTGAACAAGGTAATGTACATATTTGTTTTTATTTTTCATTCATGTTAAGCTAAATAAACTTTTTAAAAATATTTTGCTTAACATTCTAGATTGGTTTTTTAATTAATATTTTTAATGATTTTGTTATACAGTGGGTAAATGAGAGAAAAATAAAAAAGGCTCAAATACAGAAAGCTGCTAACCATCTAAAATTTAAAGTGCTGAAGAAGTGCATGAGTACCTGGAAGGTGTTTGCAATTCAAGGCAGAAAGTTTAAGTTATTAGCTGACGAAAGATATAAAAAGTCATGTTCAAAACTTCTAAGGTAAATATATTTGTAATTCTTTTTAGATATTATTTTCATCGCTCTTTAATTTACATTTTGAAATGTACAAAATTTAACGATGGTAATAAATTTTTAAAAGTTCTGACTTGCGAAATCTTCAGCTATTGGGGACAATATGAATAAAACAAGTTTCCAAAAGTAGTCTTAAACATTTTTAAATTCATTTGGCAATGTTTCTAAACATTTCAAATACATTTTTTGGTTTTATTGTCCAGTGAAACAATTTTGAAATGGAGGAAAGTATCTTCAAATCTGGCATTACAGAGAAAAAAAGAAAATGCTGCTCATGTCTATCACAACAGGGTACTCCTACTACGGGTAATTAACTTGTAACTTGTTATTGAGCTATGTTATTACTAAGTTTTAAAAAATTAATTATGAAAATAAATTGTGGATTAACAAATCTCATATTGGATTATTTTATATTCAATTCATTGCAGTCAATGGAGATTAAAAAATTTATTGTACGATCTTTTTTTTTGACAATGAATGCATAGATATGCTTAGCCCATCACGAAAGTTATTAATAGGATAAACTCTGTATGAAAAGAATAACTTTTGTCATTGCGTCCGTAGAGGAGTACATGGGTAGTCAGTGAAATTGCTCACAGATGGCTCTGCCAACATGAGAGAAGGTAATGCTGGGCTCTCCTCATTCTTTTATGGTCCACTTCTTCTCGTGGGAGGTACAGTTGATGGCACAGTTGATGGCACAGTTGGTGGCACAGTTGGTGGCACAGTTGGTGGCACAGTTTGTGGCACAGTTGATGGCACAGTTGGTGGCACAGTTGATGGCACAGTTGGTGGCACAGTTGATGGCACAGTTGGTGGCAGAGTTGATGGTACAGTTGATGGCACAGTTGGTGGCACAGTTGATGGCACAGTTGGTGGCAGAGTTGATGGCACAGTATGTGATCACGCGCAAGTAGTGAGGACAGCTTTTTATGTTGTGGATTTTTAGGATCTCCTTAACACAGCTGATCCAAAGTTTGCATGGTCTTCATCTGGCCCTGAAACCAGGTGGCCTGCTATTGGAGGCTTGCAATGCATCTTGGTTGACAGGCATTTTTACCAAGTGGCCAAACCAACTAAATCACTTTCCAAGACTTTCGAGCCATGTACTGGCTGATTGGTACAACACCAACCACTTGTTTCATTTCATGGTTCCAAATGCTGGTTATGATGCAGTTATCTTATTTCCTGCTTTGGACCTCCAAACGAAGAACCCTCGGGACCCTGTGGGAAAATGGCGTCAATCACAAATGCCAGTGACTTGTCTAGGTATCAAGACCAGGTTGAGGGACTATTTCAGGACCAAGTGGGTTGCATGCTAATGCCTAGTCCAAGCAAAAGGGGTCTGTGGTGGAAACTGAAGCATGAACACCAGAGTTTGTTGACCCAGAAGGGAAATGACCACTCCCAAGTTCGATCCTACATTTAAAAAAACAACAAAAAACTTACATATCTATCCTATAAATTATTTTGTTTTGTCTTAAGGTTCTTCAAGAATGGCATCATTACTCTTCCATTCATGCCTATAAACGATCACAAACAAATCAGTTGCTAAATGAAGCAAAGGAACACCTTCAAAAATGTAAGAATTTTTCATAGGTTACTGCAGTTTTGATGAAACGACACATTGTTCACACATTGTATGCCCTTATATTTTTGCTTATGATTGTTATCAATTCATTTTTGGACAATCCTGGTGAATATTTGATTTTTAGCTTTCTCTGCATCCTCATGGATGCAGTCTCTTTAGCAATTTATTGTTACGTGTATTTTTAGTTGTAAATCAATAAAATACTGTCTGTACTTTGGTAACATCCAAACTGACAAGGATATAGCAAACAGGAAATTAATTATTGACTGGACACTGGCTATTGCAACTGATAAAGCCAGAAAGCTAGAATAATAATTCATAATTTGAATTCTATATTTTCACTGTGAGAAGACACCAACATTTTTTTAGAATGAAAAGTATATCCAATTGAGATATGCTAAAGTATTTGTCCTTACTATCTTCTAGTCAAGCTAATGGTGTACATGAAACACTGGATTCATGCACACAAAGCCATGTCATCATCACAGCAACATCTTCAGTTGGCATTAGCTCATTTCAACAAAAAATTGCTGGTAAAAGCCATGCTGGCCTGGAAACTTTACTGTAGGATGTTTATTAGGAATCAAGTAAGTATTTATACAGTAAGCTCCAGTACTGAAACTCCATCATCATTAACATGTGTGTCCGTTTCAAAATGTTGCATAGCTCCAGTCACCCCTTGTTTGTCTTCTTGGTGCCTTCTTTTTAAATCTCTCGCAGAAATTTTCTGAACCCTTTTCAAACTTGGTTCCTTTTCAAGCCCACTTACTCAGGAGTGAAAATGATAACCGAATATGAAAACTTTTGCCTCCGAGAGACATATATCCAAGAACTTCAAAAAAACATTTTCTGTTTCACTATTGGGAACATGTGGGGGCTATGCAACATTGACAAAAGGACAAATGCGTTCAAGATGGGGGATTTCATTACTTTTAATTTTGGTGCATACTCCATATATATTTTATGTTCTCGATTATTTAAATTAATTAAGTTAAATTAGCAAAAGTTTTAAATGAAAATCTTAAGGAATACCCTCTAATCATAGGATTAAGTTATTGCCCATTGTCTCCCCTGGACTATGTTTTCCCATAATAAAAATGAGAAAAAAGTTTTGTCTTTTTACTTATACTTTCAGCTGTAAATACCTACTTAATACAGTTTTTGTTACTTTATAGAACACTGTTCAAACTTAATGTTATTTGTTACTACTGCATTTGACCGGTCAAATTCTAAACACAGTTTATCATTGTGGATGAGTTTCAGTTTTACATTTGGCAATTCGCTCATCTCTTATAGCAATTAAAACAAAGAAAATTTAATAGATAAACAAATTTGTAGGTTTTAATGGAATGTCTGCAACTGTTTCAGCTGATGACAAGACAGTGCAGATGGTTTCATGACGTACGTGTCACTGCCAAACATTTTCTCATTTGGAAGGAGAGATTATCCGTGAAAAGTGAAGAAATGGGGAAAACCCAACTTGCACTGTGGCAATGGAGTTTGGTTTTGCAAAGAAAAGTAAATATTCTGTTACCATTAATTCTGAATAAGATAATCATTTTTAATTAAGCTGTTACTCACAAGTATGGAGCCAACACGATTGAGGTCAAGCTAATGTGAAAATGTCATTTTTACCTACTGTTCATTTCTGCTGTTAGCACTTTTCTATATAAATGAAAGCTTTAGCCTGGACATTTTTAGACCAAAAGAATGAAAACATTTTATTTCAAAATCTGACATAGTCTATGCATTGTGGCCAACTATGTTTTTCTTGAAATATAATTATTCAGGTGTTGGTAGCATGGCAAGTCTACATTGTGCAACGTAAGCACAAAAAGTCTAGACTGGCAGAAGCAGCTTTCCTATGGAGACAGAATTTGTTACGTAAGGCTTGTGTCCAATGGTTGGCCACAGCTGACAGTTTATCACATATGAGATCTGTTATGGCTGTGAGACATCAAGCCAAGTCTGTTTTTGACAGTTTCCAGTTGGTTCAAAGATGTGGGTTACACTGGAAGGTTTGGGCTAAAAGAAGAGCAAGTAACCAAAGGACTTTGGCAATCAGAGAAAAGTCAACCACTGCCATTGCAAATGGGCAGCTAGAGAAAAACCCAAACCAGTTTCCTATCACTAGCCACATATATCCTAGAAGTAATGATCATCAGGCTTACTGTGGTAAACTTGTTCTTATACCTGAGCCAGCTGTCTCTCCTGTCAGACCACCAAACACTGAAAGATTTCAAGGTCACTTAGGGTATGTATTTTTTAAGTCCTTTATTGCTTTTGTTTGTGGCTGGCTAGCAAAATCTTCAGACGAGTAATTGACCCACTTCCTGTCAACCTATTGAGCTGACACTTGGCATATAGACTTAATTCTGATGACAACATATTCTTTCAAATTTTCAACCCCACCCCTTAACAATCAGTTTTTCCTGTTTTTAAGGGGAAGATGAAGGAAATATGATGACGCTGGTTTCAGAATATAAAATTCCAGAAAACTGCACTAAATAAGATTCTTTTTAAAAAAAATATTGCAAATGTGTTTGGTGCGTAATATTTTCTTTTGTTTTTCTGTGATAGCTTGTGAAATAAATCTGCAGTGTAAAAGCGGATGGATCGTTAGAATATTAATATAGCTCATGGTCGTGAAAAAAGTTGCAGTTGCGAGCCTTGGTGGTGGAGGAGCACTAATTGGGATTCTTATAAGTACATTACTGGTACTTGTATGCAAGTTTTGTCAAATTTTCAGCCCCAACCCCCACAATCTTTGATAGTTCATTTTATATAGGATTTATACACAAAACTTTATTTTTAGGGGTAGTTTAATTTATTTGTGACTTTCTAAATTTCCTATTTACCTTAACAGGCATATACATATTTAATTTTTTTTTAATTTAATTAAAAAAAGAAAAAAAAAAATTATAAAAAAAAAAAAAAAAAAAAAGGGGGGGTTTACTTATTTGCCAGACTCCGAAATTTTATTGGCCAGTTGTAATCATGACTAAACTCAATGTGACTGACAGCACTGAGCACATTATGGATCACAGCATCAAGTTCTCTCACTTTTCCATATGAGGAACATTTATGTTTAGTAAAAATATGAGTAATCTCCCCCACCCCCTTTCAAGGTAAATAGGGCAACCATGTCCCAAATTCTTGGTGTGTGGCACCACAAGCCTGGGGGAGTAAGAGAAATATGCAGAAAATTCAATAAACAAAATTTACTAAAATCTTTAACATTTATATCATGCTATGTTCTGCAACCATTTTGTCAAAATGCATCTAAAAAATATACTATATATTATTAATAAGTGTTTGGATTGTTTTGCAGCAATATAATTATAAGTAAGGTCAAACTAATCAAAATAATGGATTGTTGCTGACAGGCTCAATGTGGGAAGATAGATTTCCCTGTCTTTTATGCAAAATCTTGTACATTTTCTTTAAAGAAAGTAGTGAAAATTTATGTTTTTTTTCATGCACCTCTCCATCCAGTAATTTTGTCAAGTCTAAACAGCGACCTAAACCCAAACGGCCATCATTTTTAGTTGATTCTCTCAAACGTGCAGGTCTGTGTATGGATGCTCAAGAGAGGTGAATTTACTGGGATGTCTAGATATCATCATTATTTTACATCTTCTTTGGGTCATTACTATTCTAATATTTTGTCAAAATAAACTTCTGAGTGCCTACTTACTCTTGATGCAATTTTGTAGTGTTCATTTTGAAGTTGATATATTTTAAATGTTATAATTGAAGTTTATTCTGGTAATATTTGAGTTTTTTGTATAGATTATAGGAGTTTTAGTGAACACATTTGCAAGTTGGTCATAATGCAGTTGACTGAAAAATTCAGAACATAAATTGTCATTACATGTTGCCCTATCAAGTATATGTCGAAATTATTGTACTCTATAAATCTTTTATATCTAGTAGAGACCTAGAGGTATGTGGAATGTCAGATGTCCATGCATCAAGGAATCAATTCCATGATATTGCTTTGCACCAAGAACATATTGATGAGAATGGCTCTGATGTCAGTATTTCATCATTGGGTCCAAGGTCCAAATTAGTTCATGTGAGTATAGAATAATCTACAAAGATTTTTCAACGAAAATGCATTAAAAATTAAAAAAATTGTTTTGTTAAGAACTCATAAAAGATGAGAAATATTTAAAACTTAATTGTTTTTTTATTGTTGTTTGTAACATAAAATGACTTTGATGCATGAAATATTTTATTTTTTTCTTTAGGAAGAAGAGTCCAGCAAAGATCCATTTTTCACCATTAGTCATACAAAATCCTTAAAACTGGGACCTCGGTTTTCATCATTGCCCATAAGCAATAGTATAACAGAGCAAGGTCCCAGTGATTATCAAAAAGATTTGAGATTATCAGGTCATACACATACACAAGGCCCTGAGAATATACTCCTTGAACAAACAGTTAAGATTCAACAAGAGAGTTCTGTTCAAGTGACCCCCATACAATTGACCCCCATAGTTCTTCTTAAACCTGAGGATTTTATGACTAAACCAGCATGCCCCAGCAAACCTAATGAAATTCTCGACCTGAGAAATGAGTTAATTGTAAGGTATGAACCAACAGCCTTACAAGATAACGTGCATGACGTGGTGGATTTTTTGTCAAAATTATCAGACACTTCACATACTGAATCTTTGTCAAGCCTTGATTCTGAGAAAGAAAATGTAATGCCTCACAAAACAAAACTATGCAACCAAAAAGTGAGAGATGTAGATGGAGATCTGTCTTCATTAGGCCGTGCCAGTGAGAATCTTTTATTTGTGAGTAACAATTATTCAAGTCCAGAAGAGGAAATTTTCAGTATTAGAGACAGACTCAAGCATTTTCACCAACAGAAACAGAAACTCAGGTCAGCTTAGTCAAATATACTTCAAAATAAATATTTTTTTTTCAATGAGTGGCGAAACATTTATAGTATTTATGCACCTTATAATTTAAATTTACAAATAATCTCTCAATATATGTCATATATATTGAATTTTGAAGAGCTGAGTTTATTTACAAGACATTTGAGAACTCTTCAGCATTTAACTGCATTTATTTCTCAGTTCTAATTACCTTTTATTATACTTATAGTACTGACAAACTTGATACATAGGATATCAGTTCAGGAAGCTTAGTTAAAATTAAACTGATGGGCAGTGTAGGACCCCCCCCCCTCCTCCCCCTAAAAAAAGACAGGGTGGCAAAATATATACTGCTTGGGGGAGGGTACACCACTTTAGTTTGGCAATTTGATTTTTTATTATACTTATAGTACTGACAAACTTGATACATAGGATATCAGTTCAGGAAGCTTAGTTAAAATTAAACTGATGGGCAGTGTAGGACCCCCCCCCCCCTCCTCCCCCTAAAAAAAGACAGGGTGGCAAAATATATACTGCTTGGGGGAGGGTACACCACTTTAGTTTGGCAATTTGATAAGAAAACTTTAAGCTATTAAAGAAAGTTTCAGGATGATGTTTCAAGCCTGTTTAATCAAGTTACAAATAGGATGTGTAATTTTCTTTTTTACATCCTTACATTGCTGTGGCTATCAATAAAAAAAAACTCACTAACTATAAATCAATCTATTTATAGTATTTGAATGCTCTAATTCTTGTAGGGCTCTACGAAAACAACATAAACAACTTTCCCATTGGCTTAGAGACCAAGAGCATTTGGGGAACAAAGAGGATGAAGATTGTAAAAATGCTGTGCAAGAGTTAGAAATGGTGAGTGTTTTTTTTTACTGAGGCGGGTTTGCCATCGTTTCAATTTTTACTGCTTTTATATTTTTAGTTTAATATATTATATTTTATAGCATTATAAAATGATAAGTCTTAGCGCATGTTATAGCATTATATTATTTACATATTGTGGTGATGTAATCTAGCATTGTGTTATTTTACATTAGTGTATAATCGTTCACTAATTTTACACTATATTTCAAAATGTTGATACTTATATTGTAAGTTTATGACATAATAATGCTTTATATTTATTATATCCAATTGATATTTTTAAAACTTATTTAAAGTTAAAGCCATAAATATTTAATGTTTGAATTAGAAGCAATGCAGACATGTGATAGTTTTTCCACATATTATAAAATGTGGTTAATAGGCCAGGGAGTCATAGACTGTTGTAACCTAAACTAATGTAGGACTTTGTGGCAACAAATAAATGAAGTTATTGATGCTTTCTTCAAATTTTCTCTTTGTATTTTAACATTTATTTGAGTTATAAACAATGAGGATTTAAAAAAAAATATTGAAAATTACTCATTGCCAGAATAATCTAAGTCTAAATAATAGTCATCTATTTATCTTACCAAATATTCACCTAAATCTTACCATTATAAATTAGAGATTAGCAAAGAAAAAGTGTGGGGTGTCAAGATTCGCAATGCATTTTGATAAAGGTGTAAAATAAATGGGACAAAAAAATTTTCATGTGGTTTGTAGAACCCACCTTATGTCATTTTTTTAAAGATTAACATTACAATAAGGTGGTTTGTTAAATTAAATACTAGCCAATATAAATATAACCTGGATTTTCTCTGGTTTGTATATGGAAAAAAAAATATTCTAAAACATTATTAGCGTACATGTAAATTTAGAGGCCTTTCAAAACACTTTGCTTAAGTACCAATAGAAATAATAACTTGTAAACATTGAATTTGGGGCCGATCCCATTTCAGTTAATATTTAAGCTGAGCACAGCCAAAAAACATGATTTAAAGGCAAATCTAATGTATAAAAGATGCCCTTTTAAAAAAAGATATTCATCAATGCCTAAGCTGTGGCCGTTTATCGATTAATATAAAATAGGATCCCCATTACAAAAGGGGCCATTTTAGTTATCCCTATAATAGGGCACTATATAAAAATCATTCAGATGAATATTCAAGTTAATTTTTTAAAGTTAGTCCATTAGAATGGGAAGGGATTTTCAAAGATGTTGCCTTTAAAATTCTTACCATTGGGGCCTTGGGTGCCAAAATAACAAAACCTTTAATATTTTAGGTTGGATGATAAACAAACTTTAATTTTAAAATTATCCCATTAAAATGCCATAGACAAAGCTACTGTACGAAAAATATATTGTAAAATGTCCTATTCTCATTTGAAGCTTTTTCAAAACTAAAAAAATGTGATTTCTTAACATTTGAGGGAAAATCATAGAGACGTAGAAACATAAGAAAAATAAAAAGGAAATTTATATAATCTGAAAATTAAAATTCTTTTTTATGTAATCATTATTTCAATACTAAATTTTCTAAAGCAAAATTGTGTAACACATTTTATAATGTAACTTTTTTAATAATCACTATTTAAGAAAGGGACCCTCCATAATTCATCAGATAACTAGTCAAGTTAAAAATTTTAAGGTTGTCCCATTAAAATCTGTTGAAATATGTAAGAGCTATAGCGAATATAAGGAAAAGAAAATTAGTGTTCCTGTCCCCAAAATTGGTGATTATTATGAGTTCAAAACTCTCCAATTTTCAATATATATTTTAAAGTGCATTTTTATAATTTTAGTTAAGACCTATCCATTAATTGTAATTTTATTTATATACCTCATATAAAGAATAAATGAAATTTGGGCCCCCAACCCTGAATGTTATATTAAAAAAAAAAACACCATCAACATTTCCTTCTGGATAATGAAGTGTAATAACAATGTATCCAAAGTTTGATCAAGATCCATTAATCCATGTAAAAATGCATGCAGTACAAACAGACACATTTTCTCATGTATATAGTAGATACATATTATACCAGAAAGATACATGGATAAACATTTGAGATTTTTAAAAAAAATATTGTTTTTTAAGGCATACAACTAATTAAAATTAACATTTACAAAACATATTTATGAATGAATACCGTTGTGACGTTAATTGTTTTTTCATAGTTCAGTGTTATGCACAGTTTTTAACTTTAACACCACCATGTCATTATCTGGTGTCAGTAAAAAATCTAGACAGAAACTTATTGTGTGTGGCATTTAAGAAGCTTATAATAATGTACAAGATGTAAATAGTTAAATAAAGGGAAATCTATTAAGGACTGAAATTGCTCACATTGTGCCTTCGAGATATATCTATACCGGTACTCATAAAATGCACCCATCCATATTTTTGTTGTAGTTTTACTAAATGCTGATTTGGCGCTCATTCACAAACTAGAGATTCTTCCTTCCACAAACATTACTACATTACGTTGGTAATAAAATTAATAATCTGATAGAATCAACTGGACTTTAAACCCCTAGGTATGCCTAGGCACCCATTATGCATGCTCCTGAACTATGTGATAATTCTGTTCTAATGTTCAACCCCCTTATTCCATGAATGAACTGTAGTTCCTTAAAATGGTACAAAACATATTTCAAAATTTTTAAAGAATTTAATTGTTTTAAACAACTAACCTTTGGTGAAAAAAACTATTTCAAATATTTTTTTAAAGCAAACTGTTCTTGCGAACATAGAATATAAAGCTTTATTTAAATTGCGTGCACAAAGAAAAGTGCACCGAAAGCATTCCTTTAACAGATGTTTGAAAGCGCACTGCTCTGAATAAAGGTTTATTCAAAAAGTGCCCACCAAAAATAAAGTGAACATCCCTGGAAGCCATTTGAAAGTAATATTTACTTGACTATTACCCTCTACATTTTACGAGTTTTTAATTATAACTTTTGGGACTAGAGGATTTACCTTTCTGGAACACTCTATAGGTCTGAAGGAATGACCATGTCCAATTTGGTTGCAATCCATTGTTTAGTTTTCTTCTTGTTACTACTCGACCCATTAACAAACAAACAAACATAGCCACACAGAGATTATATTGCAGATAAATAATGCTATTCAATTTTCATATTTTGTTTCAGCTGAAACTAGAGAGGACAGAACTTCATTCTGTGATTGAGAGCCAGAGGCCAGCTTGTGAGATATTAGTTCAACAAGCACAGACTTTAGCCAAGAAATTTCATCATCTCTGACACAAAAAATGACATTGATTATATTAGTATTAGTCTAGACTAATTACATTTTATGACAGCATTAAAATATATAAAGATATTTATTAAAATATATATTGCATATATTTTGTGTAAAACAAATTGTTATTTAAAGAGATATTAAATTTTTGTTGTAATGTAGAGCTTGATTTTGTGCTTCAGTTTCTCTAAAAGTTTCATGATGGTGCTATAAAATAGGTTCAAACATGATTTGATGAAGTAAACAAATGAACAAGTCACTTGTCTGATACAAACAGAAAATGTGTCATTAAGTTATAAAAAAATGAAAATTTAACACAGAAGTGCTACCTGCTTAGTTAATATTTCATGAAATTTTCCTTTGAATGAGAACTCTGCATCACTGCCCTCCTTTAAAAAAAAAATATCTTACTAAACTCTAACACTTCAGTGATTGTCTGATTGGTGGGCCATCATTTGTATTGCATGTCTTAAATCAAACAATGAAATTTAAACTACAGACATGCCTCCTAACTTAAAGTTGATTATAGTGACTTATTAAGTTTGAGAAATATCTTTTTTTTTTTTTTTTGGTACTTTATAGCAAAGCTTTTTGTATCATTTTGACTATAATTAGTCTAATGAAATAATTTTGAATAACACTTTATTGTTAAAAATCAATCCTGGGTTGAAAGTATGTTTTTTAAAAACATTTATTGAAACAGTTAAATGACATTTGTTGGACCCATCCAAACAGTGGAGCAGTTTGTGATGCCCAGAGCTATCATTGGGTTTTGCCCCACCTCACACATAAAGAAAACCACAACAGTTGGAATGTGTTTTAGACCAATTTTTTTTTAATTTTGAAGGTGACTTTTTTTTTTGTTTTTGTTTTTTTGTTGTATAATTTTTTTTCCTGCTGTAACTTGCTTGAAATTATTTTCTCTTGGCACCGCGTCATCAAAAGAAAACAATATCTCAAAAGTTGCCCCTTTGTTGACAACCGCGCTATTTTAAGTTACTGGGCTTATGTGTGTGTTCCGTCCAGGTCCCCTGCCATTTTTTTTTTGGGTCTCCCCCGTGTATTTTTGCGCTTGGTCTAAATAAAAGGCTATTATATGTAGAATTTAGCTCATGTTCAACAAGGGGCCATCCATAAATAACGCCACGCGTCGTGGGGGAGTAGGTCACATTTTTGTGATGGGGAGGGGGTTAAGGTTTAATACTAATAGTAATAGCATAATAAAATATCAACTCAAGTCTGCGGTCTGCGTAACTAATAATCTTCTTCTTCTTTTATATCTTAAGGGCCCACGATCAATTTATTGATCATTTTGGCTCCTATGCATGTAGATGGGATTTGCAATGTTTCTGTTACTGGTGTTTATGAGGAAATCATGCACAAGGGGTTTGAAGGCTGGAGGCAATAGACACAAATGTGTCTAGTGTTGTCGCCTCAACCGTTCCTTTTGAAAGATTGTTCCAGTCCCTGATTGTCTTGGGCAGGAATGAGCAGCTCCTATACTGGCTTCTTGCTGGTAGGAGCCTGAATTGCCTGTCATGGCCTCGTCGCTGTCTATGGGGGAGAGGGACGAGTTTCTGTTTAATACTGGAACAGTGGACCAGCCCATTATTTATCTTGTACATCATGGAGAGCCTGGATTGTCGTCGTCGTTTCTCCAATGGTGACCAGCCTAGTGTTTCTAGCATGCTGCCAACACTAGAGGTATTCCTGTAGCGGTTTAGGACAAAGCGTGCTGCTCGTCGCTGGACAGCCTCCAACCTGTCAATGCTCTTCTGGGTAAATGGGTCCCAGACTGAAGATGCATAATCTAAAATCGGACGGATAAAGGCTTTATATGCTCTTTCTTTCACACAGGAGTTGCCAATCTTTAGATCTCGCCTTAAGAACCCTGGGGTCTTGTTTGCCTGGTTACATACATCTTTATTCACCATCCTACATACTTTTAATACCCCACTGCCCACATCACATGACCACTCACTCCAGCTAATATTCACACATTTAATTAAGTGTAAACATTCATGAAAACAACTCACCACGTGCAGTCGTACACGATGACAACACAGGACCATCAGGTCGCATAGTTCAATCGCCTACACACTACACTCGTCAGTCACTCACACTCACACTGTCTCAAGAGTAACGTTACGAGTTACGTCACATTAAAACGGAAAATTTTTGTTTAAAATGAACTTAATAACATCAAATCACTGACCTTTTTAACATAAATATTTTTGTAATAGTGTGTTTGTGTTCGTTTTGGTTGACACACTTTTAAATCCTGTCGACGCCCCAAAAACTGAAGTAATTTGGGTGGCGACCGAAGAAGTGGGGTGGATGTGTGTGACAAACTTTTAAAAGGCTGCCACTTTCGCAACTCTTCCTCACTTTAAACAAAAGTCACTAGCGCAAGTCATCAGTCACCGAACGACTCGATGGTCATCGTCGATCCTCGACGGACGAACAACAAAAACCAGAAGTGAGAATTTGGGATTTAAAAAAAAAAATATTTAAAATATTATTATTGGGTTTGTAAGACAAAATGTGGTATCAAATGAAATATAATTGAATGGACTATATGTTTGTAAACTTACTTTTTCAGTTTAACTAAAATAGACTACCTCAAATGACATCCGAAAAGTATTGAGTCTAATGGGAGCCGGGTCCTCATTGGCGGCGATGCGTGTCCGGGTTCCATTTTGACTAAATGCCATTCGGATGTCATTTGTGGAGTTTATTTTAGTTAAACGGAATAATTAAGTTTAAAAACATATAGGCCTAGTCCATTCAATTATCTTTCATCGGATACCACATTTTGTCTTACAAACCCAACAATAATATTTTAAATAGTTTTTTTAATCCCAACCTCTCACTTCTGATACCCGGGTGCGAATAGCCCCTTCTCTTTTAAAACTCTGCTGGCAGCGCCAAAAACTGTAGCAATGTGGATGGTGGGGGACAAGGCTGACAGTTTTTCTCATATGTTTAAGGAGCCATCCAAAAATGACATATCGCAAATTTTGCCAATTTTTGACCCCCTTCCCCCCATCCTCACAAAAAGTTAGACCCCCCCCCCCAACTCAAATATAACGTCACAAATATCTGCAACTCTCCCCCCCCCTCCCAAAAAAAAAATCACTGTGTCCACTACTGTCATTTACACACTCTGAAGAAATTCAATTTCCATGGATATCAAATTACTGCACCTCTGTCAGAAACGTTTCACTAGAACTCGAACAGTGGTTCTTAACCAGGGGTAAAAGTACCTCCCCAGCCCTGAGGTGCGGAAGACCAGAAAATTTTATTTGCTGCCATTGCTAGTCGTTGCTGCTTAAAATAAGTTTTTATGCATCTTGATTATCAGCAGTAACTGTTTTTCTGGTGAATTTTATTTTATTTTTTTGCGCATTGCTTGTATTGAATTTTTTTCCCTTGTTTATAAAAAAAAAGTTAATTAAAGAAATAAAACTAAGATAACTAATGGTTTAATTATTTTAATATATGAAATTTTATTACAATACTATTATTGTATACTTTTTTATATTACTTTGTATATATTATTTATACTTTTTCTTTGGTTGTGGGGGATGTTTAAAACAGTGGGCATGCAGCGCTGAAAAAAGGTTAAGATTCCCTGCCCAAGAGCATTTATTAAGATTCCCCTACTCCCCGGGTCAACCATTTTTTTTTCGTTCCACCCCCTTCCCGTGGTAGCACTACTTCTATGACTATGACTCTCGTGTCCACATTCAGCCATACATTCTCACGACTTTGTCATTGTAACTCCCCGCTGGCGTCCTGTAACTTGACCAGAGGCCATATTTCGGACCTCGCATACCTGTACTGATTCTCTCAGAGTACAATAATTATAACTGTTGTATAAAAGAACAATATTAAAAAATGTCTGTAATTTAGGGTTTTTAAGTGCAATTCTGAGCACACTCCTCTATGGATGAAAGTCATGCACCACATACACCAGGCACGAAAGAAGGCTCAATGGCTTCCACCTCAGAAGTCTGCGACGCTTCAAATGGCAAGATAAAGTCCACAACACGGATGTCCTGTCTCAAACAAACATGTGCAGCGTCCCAGCCATATTAATCCAAAGACGCCTTCGCTGGAATGGGCAAAACAAGCGAATTCAACCTGGTCGCATACCAAAGGACGTGCTATACAGCGAGCTGGTGACAGGGAAAAGGTCGGTTGGACGGCTCCGTATCAGATCCATAGACATATGCAGAAGAGACATGAAGGCGGCCAACATCGACATGTAGAACTGGGAGGACCTGGCGGAGGATCGATCCACATGGTGGAGCATCGTGAAGGAAGGATCACTACGTGCCGAGGAGCAAAACAGGGCGGCAACAGCTGTAAAAAAAGAGCGAAGAGGAAGGCCGGTAAACACTGCGCCACCGCATTTGTGTGTGACATGCAAAAGAGACTGCCACTCGAGAATTGGTCTCACTAGTCACACCAAGAGCTGCAATCTAAAAAGATAAATATATCGTCTCTCGTAGACGGAAAGATGACATACAGTGCGATTCTTTACTATAATGTTCCGCTTTTCATGTGACGTCACATTGCTTAAGGCCCCCCCCCCAACCCACGTCACACATCGTCACAAAAACTGCCCCCCCCTTTTTTTTTGACGCGTGACGTCATTTATGGATGGCCTCTTAGGATGGAGAGAATCGGTAGTTGGCTCCTTCACACATCGTCACAAAAACTGCCCCCCCCTTTTTTTTTTGACGCGTGACGTCATTTATGGATGGCCTCTTAGGATGGAGAGAATCGGTAGTTGGCTCCCCCTCCCCTCTCCCTCCTTCGGAACTACGCTTTGCTTTGGCCTAGACCTCTTCCACGGGGGGCCCATTCGGTCGTGGCGCATGCGCCGGGATCTTTAGCTTCGGCCGAGCGCTTCAGTTGCGCTCAAGCCCTACTAGTCTCTCGCACCACGTAGAGGTCGAGATCCCTTGCGAGAGAACACAGACAACAACAACGAACAAACATAGATGACAGTCACAAACATAAACTGCAATCTGCTCACCGCCCTCGCATAAAAATGCGATCATGGGGCGGGATAGGTCCGTTGGTAGGCTGTTAGGAAAAAAAAAAGGTGAGGTGAGGGAAGGGGTGTAACATCCGATACTATTCAGTCTTGTGTACGCTTACGCGGACGCACGAGAAAACTTCTGGGATTTTAAATAAACGGAAACTACTTTTTTTTTTTTTAAAGTGCTGCGCACCATATTTCAAATATTATGCTTTTTTTAAAAACTTAATATATTTTATTCCTAGATGCATTTTTCAATAATCGAGCCAATATAACTATGGGGGCATCCATTAATTACATAAGCAATATAAATATATTACTAGATATAGCCCGCCAAACATTGGCAACAGCAATGCGTGAACTTCCCATCTACTAAAGTTACTTGACAAAACATGAACTCAAGTAACGCACATTTAATACTCCCAATTTTTGCTACCCCCCCCCCCCCTCCCCCCCCCCATGATACGTCACTGTACACTTTTTATTTCACGCCCATGAACTTTATTAAATATTCTGATGTCCCAACCGCTTTTAAACCAAACATTTTTTACACCATACTTAAAAAGATTTCATTTTCCGAAAAGAAAATATAACGCACCACATGCAGTTGTCTCATTTAAAAAATAATTATAATATATCATTTAGCGTATTTATCGGGAATATATATTTTGTGCGCTAGTGAACTCATCATTGAACCCTACTTTCTTTTAAACATATAGAATGATTTGTAATATACCTCAAAACCAAATACGCTGAATAGGAAGCAGCCGGAAATGAAAAGATAATAATTGATGGAAGCAGTCCACGAGTCGCATCAGAAGCGTAATATATATACAAGATATCTTACTAGCTGTCAGTGGCTGATTTTTAAAATCATCAGATTTGGTTCTCAAATTATACTTAAAGTAGGGCTTAAACGGGTGCAGTTTTTTTTAACAGGTCTGGGTATTTTGAGCAAATTACCTGATGGGCCGAAGTGTTACAAAAAAAAAAAAAAAAAAAAAAAAAAAGA